CAGCCCAAACTATACTCCACGGGAGTAAGGGGAGGTTATTTTTGGTGTTGGTACTTTAAATATTTTATAGAATAATTTTGTTATTCTGATGGTTGGAAGACTTCTTTAAATGGATAAATTATTTTAAAATTCAATCAAAAAACACTTATCCAGTCCCTCATTCAGAAAACAATTCATTAAATGTGCATCCATAATGAGAATATTTTCCTTGAGTGATTAAAATGAGGATTCAAAGGATCACATTTACAATTTTATTTTCAAGTTTATCTTCCATGTGGTAGAAACTCAAAACCAATTAATTTAATGCCATTATCTAAATACTTAAATTTAAGACATGTAAATTGCTCAAACAATACATTGCTGAGGTGGGATCCACAGCAGGGGTTGTAATTAATACCTGCTTATTTTACAATGTGTCCTTTCTCTCTCTCTCTCTCTCTCTCTATCTATATATAAAATAAATATCTCTGTGACAGTCAAATCATGGGATCAAATAGAGAACGAAGGTCAAAATGGAAGTGGTAGAATGTTTACCACAGTTTGCAGAGAATAAATATTGTGGTATGCAATCTCATTCTATTGAGGTCAAAAAGTATGCAAAATTCAGAGAGGCTGGTTACCTGCTGAGAGGAGTGCTAAAGCTTACTACTACTATACCAACCGGCCTGGTTCAGACAGTTAATACATGTGCTACTGTGACCACTTGGAACACAAACTTGAGTTTGACACAGAAGGGCGCCCAGAAGGAATTAAAAACTGGGTCACATGCTGGGACTTGTACAAGGAACACTGCTTCAGAGAGCCAAAGGGAAAAAAGCTACCTCAAAGCATCCTTTCAGCATTGCCTTTCTTTATTTGATTTGTTAGAAATGATGGCCTTTACTAGCAATGACTTAAGCTAAATGTCCCTCGAGTGCAGTCACTGGGATTGCTTCTAATGAAGGGTTTCGATGAGGAAAGGGATACCCCCAGGAAAGCCCCTTGAAATATCCACTCACCTCTGCAGGCAGCATCTGTTTGGTGTTATATAAAGAGCGACAGATTTTCAAAACTTCGTTCCCCAATCTTTCCTTGTTCTCCACTGTGCATTTGGTTAGCATTGCTGTAGCTAGTCTCACCCACGGATTATTGGTTATGCTGGTTCTAAGGGAGAAAACCGCAAGCCATTGGAAAGGATGAAAGCTGTCAAACTTGTGGTGAGAAATTTTAAAGCAGGAAAGGAAATTCCACTTTATGAAGTAAAATGCTTATGGTAAATTACAATCAGAACCTAGATGATGTGCTCTTTCAAGTCAATCTTGTTGAAAAGACAGCATCTGAAGGAGAAAAAGCAGCTTCCTATGGTTTCGCCACCAGCCCAGTAGCACACGGGCAGTCAGTGGAGTTGACAGGGCTCAGGGTTGAAGCCCGGGAGACCTGGGCTCACATTACGACTTCTTGATTTACTGGTTGGGTGACTCAAAGACGTTACTTAATACTCTTGCCTAGTTGTAGGGTTCTGGGGAAGCCACCCCACCTTTCTGGGCTTCAGTTCCTTCCTTGTGGAAAGGTAATTTAATGTTTTTTTTTTTCCCTTGAGGAGTTGCTTTATTTAATGAGTGACGTGTGTAACTGTGAAGTATCGCCCGATGGCAGGCACACCTCACTATTCTCTGCATGAGTGCTGGCTTCACACTGTTTTCTCATATCTGAAACAAAAGCAGGTACAACCTTGCCTTTTCTTTCCCTTCTCCGATTGTCCCTACCCCATGTTTCGTAAAAATATCACAATTTACAAAATTTTAATAGATAGGTTAAAAGTAAATTCATTTCATGGCCCTAGGACTAGGATATGTAGCATTTGACTGACATTTAAAAAAAATTCACTGTTTACTAAGAGTCTGGTGTCTCATTATCATAACACTAGATTCTAGACACTGAACAACTAGGGATGGTCCTTCCCATTAAAGAATTTTATTCCTTGACCCTGAGAACAATTTCAAGTGCAAATGTGACAAGGGGACTCACCATACTAGCCTTTGATGAAGCCTTTGTGTCTTAGCTCAAATTAATAATCTGTGAGGACAAAGAATACTGCTTATTTCAAGGTACAAACAGCTCTAGGAAGAGTGTCTGGTTGGCTAAAGAGTCTTCCTGCACTCAAGGACTTACCCTCTGCTCTCCTCTTTCAATTCTGAGTTTGGCTCTGCTGAATTTTTCTCTACCGGGCTGTATCACTGTAGTAGAAACACTGGTCCGGCAGCACAGCGAACCAATGGGCAATGTGGCTTTGATAACAGATTATCAAGGTATATTTTCCACACACTGGATGAAAACTATGAATCTTCCGTAAGTGCAAATCTATTATACTTCCCATGCATTTTCCTATAAAGGACTAAAACTAAAACCCAAAAGTTGGTACTACTAAATTAGCAGTCATGTGCATCAAGCAAATTTCTTAATTTTTAACCCTGTTGTGTTGACAAGCAACATGCAGTCATTGTTACACTATCACACTACGTAGCCTTCCTGTCTTCCCTCCCTTTTCTTTCTTTCTTTCTCTTTTTTTTCTTCTTTCGGTTATTTTGGAAGTGCTGAAGTCATACATTGGATTGTCTGAAAGAAAGAGTAGTCAAAAGTACTTTTGAGAACCTGTTTTTAAGGTATCCCATCATACATTCCCCAGAAAAGGACAACTGCGACTGATCCTCTGGTTTTCTCATAGGCAGAGGAGACAGGAATGGTTAAGAGGGGTGAGCTGACTGGGAAACGCTTTCTTCTGATTTCAATGATTTAATAAAGCAGTTTTATAACACACAGGTTGGCAATTCATAAATTCTATTTCATATGTGACTGCAAAAGTAACAATATAACTTTAAAAATTAAGATTCT